AAGTTCATAAATGAAGTAATTTTTTTTTTCCAATATATGTCAAGTCCTTTAGTCTGTAAAGTTTTGGAAAAATTATTTAAATTCAAAGAGAACAAATGAAAATGGGTTTTAAGCTATTGATGGTAAAATGTTTTCATATTTATTTTTTTAAATTATTTATTATTTTTAATTATTTATTTTTTTCACAAAAAGGATGTGATCATCGTGTGAAACCCTAGCTGTCCACTTGGTGGCACCAGAGTTGGTGTTACAGTGGAGCTGAACACTATTACAGGGTGTATCATATTTCTGTGTGAGAACCTAGAGTGGGAACCATTAGAATATTATACAGTAGTAGCTGTTGTTCTGACACCAGCATAGATTTTCCCAATAGAAAACATTTTCTTGACATCAACACTGAAATTTGAATGGCCTATCAAGCGGTCCACAAAATAGGGGGTGGGCAACTGCAGATTTTTTTTTTCTTCCTCCTCTGTTCAATAAGAACATGTGCATGATGATTAGAAAACTGATGTTGTCTTTCCTTACCCAGGGTTTTGGTAACGTGGGTCTTCACTCCATGAGGTACCTGCACAGGTTTGGAGCCAAGTGTGTGGGCGTGGGCGAGATCGATGGTGCCATCTACAACCCAGACGGCATCGACCCCAAACAGCTGGAGGATTACAAATTGGTACTACTTGCTACATGTTTTAATAATCAATTTGAATGTTGTTAATTTATTCAAACATTCACATGTCCTTGAAATACATTTTAAAGCATTTTTCCTTCATTATTTTCTCCAGCAACATGGCACCATTGTTGGATTCCCAGGAGCCAAACCCTACGAAGGAAGCATTTTGGAAGCTGACTGCCACATCCTGATCCCCGCTGCAGGAGAGAAGCAGCTCACCCGCCAAAACGCTCCCAGGATCAAGGCTAAGGTAAAGATTAAATAAAGTAAAGTCTGGCTTAGCCGAGTCATATGGGTATAAACAATTGGAAATCAGGTCAAATGTGCTTTTCTTTAGATTATTGCTGAAGGTGCCAACGGTCCCACTACTCCAGATGCGGACAAGGTCTTCCTGGAGAACAACGTCATGGTTATTCCTGTAAGTACACACAACAAATACTACAGTATTTCATGGGAATAAAGCTGCGCTGTGCGTGAGCAGCGTTCCCATCCATTCAATGTTGAACTCAAATTTCCTACTAGTCTTTTCCACCAAGTCCACTAAACTTTCTACTAAAATGCTTCATATTAATGGAGAACTACACTTTAATTGATGTGTTGAAATAATGTATTTAAAATGTTTATTTGATTGATATTTTTCTCTTGTCAGCTGTTGTTCTCTGCATTCCTTCTGTGTTTTTTGCTGTAAAAACCTATTATATACTTGGTCATTGAGGTGAGTATTTACTGTTGGTTGTGCAGGACATGTACCTGAACGCTGGTGGCGTAACAGTGTCTTATTTTGAGTGGCTGAAGAATCTGAACCACGTCAGCTATGGAAGACTGGCCTTCAAGTACGAGAGAGATTCCAACTACCACCTGCTCAGTGAGTACATGACTGCACCGAATGAAAACTAACTTAGAACACATCTTTTTTTTCTTTTCTTATTTTTTTTAAGTAAATTTTCAAATTATTGAATGCATTTCAACTGTCAACATGATAACGATTGTATTTGCTACTTTGTCTTGCTGTTGTGTTGCCGTTGCCCTTTTGTTGTGAAGTTCGCCTTTTCTCCCAGGTATCCTGTCGCTCCCGTAGGGTCAGAATTTGCGTCATGCAGCTATGATAATGTTGCTATGGTGATAGAGGAATATTTCAGCTGTTTTTTGTTACGGACGTCTTTCTCTTTTAATCCAGTGTTGTATAAATGCCAAAAAAAATTCACTTTATATGGTAATACAGTGTGTGTGTATATATGTGTGTGTGTGTGTGTGTGTGTATATATATGTGTGTATATATGTATATATGTGTGTGTGTGTATATATATATATAAATGTAATATGACTATAAAAATTGACTATAAAAAAGACCAATAATGATTTTGTGTTAGACAGTGATTTATTGTGTGATGCAGGAACAAAAGACTGCTGTGATTGTTGATTCACTTTTTTTCCTCTCAGTGTCTGTCCAAGAGAGTTTAGAGAGGAAGTTTGGAAAACAGGGAGGACCCATTCCCATTGTACCCACTGCTGACTTCCAGGCCAGGATTGCTGTGAGTGACAGTTCCATTTCCAATAGGATTTGTGCTCATTTGTCTTCAATTGGAGCTAAATATATATGCTTAATAAAAGGAGAGAATAAGTAGCATAGGCTTTTGAATATTGTGTTGATTTGGTAAATTAGTAGTATTTTAGCTGTTGTCTGTGTATTTTTATGCTGAATCTTTTTGAAAAAACTTTTGTTTCATCTTTAAATGCAGGGTGCTTCTGAGAAAGATATCGTTCACTCTGGTTTGGCTTACACCATGGAGAGGTCTGCCAGGGTAAGAGATACAGATGGGTGTTAGTGTAGTCAATTGACATATGTACTATTAGGAAAGCTAAACACATCTTATTACTGTTTTTTTTTTTTTTCATTTTCTTCCCCTTGCCTTTTTAGCAAATCATGCGCACGGCCAGCAAGTACAACCTGGGTCTGGACCTGAGGACGGCCGCTTATGTCAACGCCATCGAGAAGGTCTTCAAAGTGTACAACGAGGCCGGGCTCACCTTCACATAAACAGCTGGTCATCACCCAGGCTTCCTCTCCCTACTGCTGCTCTCCTGCTGTTCATTCTACATTTACTCCCCAGCCTTCAGACCATATCACAGTATCGCTGCTTTTTTCCACCTATCACAGGGCATACTGTATCCACAGTCTGTATCATGTAATCTCCCTCATGCACTGCCAGTATACTCGATGCATTTACAGCTTCAGTAATGTTGTGTTCTGGTCTCTGAGGTTATTTCAAGAAAAGAGCGCCATCCTGGTGACGCACTGCATCCCAACAACGGGTCAAAATAATTGGTAATGATATTGTTGTACGGCGGCCATGTCCATAGCAGCCTTATGGTGTTTGAATGACCTTCGTACAGATGCCTTATATCAGCAAGAGGTCTTCTTTAATAGAGAGCAGACTGACCTTCACAAAGGGGTTTCCATCTTACTGCATCTTCTTACCTGAGCAGTGAAGTTATAGAATCCCAACATTGCATATCATGCCTAGTTTCACCTGCAAGTCTCTTGTGTTTTCTTTTCTGTTTTTTGTCATTTGCTCCTTTCATTAAAGCAGCTTCTCCCTGATTCCTCCACTGGCCAAAAAATGGGAGCTGGGAGGGAGAGTCTCTCTGACGGTCTACTCCCTGGTTAAATTTCCCACATTTTTAACTGTCCAGCTACTTATACAAAATATAAATCGTCATAGAGGGAATTAATTTTTATTTTTACTGTATTAATTTTTGTTCGAACGAATAAAAAATATTTCGGATCTCGTGGATTACGTGTTCATGTTTGCTGATCTAAAAGTATCATGTGTTAGATTTCTTTCAAAACCTAGTGGTGAAACTGCATATTGCTGTCATGTGAGACGTGACAACATAATAGGAGATGCCGAATGACGTACAACTCTACGTATTAATGTGAAAGTTATGTTGAAGACAGAAACTGAGCTACCAGCCTGGTGTTGAACCAAGGTTCCACCTTCTCACGGAGCTGCTTCTTCTTCATGGTCTTGACTCTTGGTCAAACATGCAGTTAAACCTTGTTGTTCAGTTGTTATGAAATTAATTCACACTGGAATAAATTCCCAACACATGTATCTGGATTTCAAGAAAACCTCTTTAATTTCACTGGTACTGTTTATAAAATCAGCTAGTCTGCATTGATGCCAACGTAATCATTGTGTGTGTTTGCATATATGAGGTGTGTCAATTTGAGTGTGTGGCATTTGTGTGAATGTGTGTCAGTACAAATGTGATGTCGTGTGTTGTCATCACGTGTGTGTGTGTGTGTGTGTGTGTGTGTGTGAGAGAGAGAGAGAGACAGAGAAAGTTAGATTGCTCGATAAGGCAACATGCAGTCCTCAGTTTCCGTTGGCCTCAAAGTAAAAATACACAAACCTGCTGCAGACACAAACACAGACACACACACTGCTGGCTCAACCTATTCTATGTTAGCACACACATGAACACACAGACACACACACAGTGCAGATGGACTCACACTGACGCCGTGCAGATGGGCACGAGACATTTGATGAGAAGAGTTTTGGGAACAGAACTACTCTGAAAATATCTGCACATCTAAATACAAAGTCAAGCAAAATGCAAAACTACACACACGTCTAATCTACGCAGTACGACACCCACACCTTCACCTGTGTGTCTAGTGGACAGGTTGCGTCACCTAATGATTGGGCTTCATCACAATGACCTGAATACGTCTTCACTTTTTTCCTCAGTAACATGCAGGAAAGCTTCACAAACATCGAAGGGTGACATCTACTGTAGAAAGACTGACTCGTTCCAAACTGCTCACCCTCTGTCACAGCGAACCAGATGTTTGTTCTATTCTGACATTGTTCTACTTAGAAATACTGGCTGTATTTGGTCCTGATTAGATTTGAATGATAAATATTTTGTTTTAAACCAATGTTTCATTTTAAAATATCAGCTATCGCGTAATCTGTTTTTTCATAAACATCACATCGATTTACAAATGATATATCCATGCAAAATTTCATTTCTGTCAGAAAAAATATAATCAATTTTTGACCTAACCATCACTTACTGATCATAGCTCAGATGGTTTAGCTGTGTATTTTTTTCATTAATTAACAAATATTTTTAAATTGTTCATATGCAGTCATGTATCATTAACAATGTATTTTTTTCACATCTTTATGTTCTAATGCACTCATGCAAGGACATGTTTCCCCCCACTCCATTTCAGATGAACTCCTTCTTTTGATTCTCGTCTGTAGTTCTCCAGTTCACGGCACCGTTTACATCCCAGGGTCTAAATATCGAGCGGAAACACACGCACTAAGCCACAACAGCACAGCTGCTACTCTACATTGTGAACACATGACAAGTGGTTCTCACACATCTGTCCATGCAGTCTCTAACTACTCTAACTACTGAGCACACGACACTATGGGGTATGTCATCAATGCACGGTTCCTCTGCACACGTCTGTGGAGATGAATCTGCTTGTATTTTATATGCCTGCAGCTGCACGAGCCCACACGCACACACACACACGTTTACATATATTTATACATATATATATATATATATATATAAGTTAACATGGACACACAAAGAGCAGCTGGCACATTTTTTGTCCTCTAGTTCCTGGCATGAACTATATGCACTGAATGTGTGTGTGTGTGTGTGTGTGTAGCGGCTTCATGCACGTGTCAGACAAAGGTGTGTGTGTTTGTGTGTGTGTGTGTGTGAGGTTTCCCTATCAATTGGGAGGCTTGGGGCAGTAACGACAGCGGGGCTCATACATCAGGACGACACTAACACACGGGTGAGGCGGGGGCAAAGAGACGGGCAGTGGAGGGAGAAGCTACAGGCTGCAGAAAAATTCACAGGGCAGGAGTGGAGTGGGACGTCAGAGGTTGACAGGAGGAGTAGGTGGGTGTGTGGGGGCGAGGGGCTGGTGGGAACAAGGGCTGAGGTGCGACATCTGGAAGAGTCCGTTTTAGTTGATTTTGGTTCCATAAAGTCACAAAAAATATGTTGAACATCTGGAGGACGAGAGGAGATGGGAGCTGTCGGAAAGGTCCTGAAGAAGACTAGTAACCCTGACAGGAAGGAAGGAGGCAAGGGGATTAGAAGATATTATGTAGTACTATTATGTAGTATTCTTATGCTGCTGAAGTATCTTCTCAGTATCCGTAGCAGCAGAGTGCTGTGTTGTCTTACCTCTCCTCCTTGGCCGCCCTGCTCCATTCCACCATATTCTCCCTGTAAAGAAAACATAGTCAGTGGCACTGAGTTAGGAACGACAGAACAACAGTGGAAAACCCACTGCGTCAGGATGAGGGGGCTGAGGGAGTTGCACAGCTGGGGCCCAAAGCATTAAACACATTCGGTCTTAAACACGTTCCTGAACCATGCTGTACATTAGAGTGAGTATCTGTTCTGGTAACATATCTGCTGGATTAGTTCATCTGCCAGGCCATACTACAGACACACAGTCCTGGTTCAGCCTCAGCAGTGCATCAAGCTCTTACTGTCAGTGAATGCACACCCTCCATGTACTGTCCACACCAGTGGTGGCAGGGTCATGTGATCAGGGGTCTGTCGTCATGTGAGAGTATCAATGGTCAGGATGCAGGTTTTGTTTTGTGTGTGTTTTGTTTTTATTCATTCTTGATAAAACTATATGACTGATCAAGCCTGTGAGAAGTGAGATTGCTCTGCTCTGATTGGTCCTTATGATTACATGTTAGCTTTTTGATAAAGCAAACAATATTCAATTATCCTCGGGTTTTATTACTTAATGAGGCGAGTGAGTATTTTTGTATGCTCCAGTGGTAAATAATTGTATTACTTTTGTATAATTATTGACCATTTTCACACAAATCATTAAACCAATTCAACCATTAAAAACTGTGGTATCCAGAATAGCAGATGCAGCTAAGGGGTTTCGAAAACATTTGCATTTTGTAGTAAATGCAAATTAATTACATTTAATGCAGCGCTTTACTCTCGTGTTTAATGACCTAATAATTATCCATCAGCCTCAGCCAGTCAGAGTTTGACGACAAAACACAACTACTTCTAGTTCAGTTTTAGTCGTTTTGGTATTAGTCACATGCTTCCTCATCAGGTTGGGCATATTGTCTAATATTCACTGAATCACCAGTCCATGAAGTACACCCGCTCATAGTACGAATCCAAGCCTCAGAACCGGAGGATTCCTGTCAGATATATCGTCCATATGTACGATCAGTTTAGGATTGTTTATTACAGGTGTACCTAATGAACTGACCACCCGGTGCAATCTGCATGCAATCTATACAGTCTACTCTGTGGCTCCTTCAACTCCAGCCCACACTACTCTGTTCTGTAGGCACCTCGTATACAGGCTCCTCCTATGATGAGAGACAAACAGCACAAACAGAGACAACATGAGAGCAAGGACAAGACAGAATGACACACAGGACACAAACACACACTGCTGAACGAACGGAAGACGACAGAAGACACGCAGACTTAACTGCAAGGTGGAGAGATTGTCAACATTTACGACACGTATGTTCGAAGATTGTGCTAATGTTAAGACATGCATTTTATTATATATAAGTGAATAGAGCAACTAAACAAATGGGTCATATAAATATGAAACATGAACAACAAACATAAATGAAATGTTGATATTTCTTCAACTCCGGAGGGAAGATCACTGACCTGGTTGATCAACCCGGTGGATGCAGCAACATTCTCAACACCCTCGACGCCTGCCTGCGACACCTCATTGGCCCCAGCGACCGTTGTGTCTCCAACAATGTTGGTCTGATCCACAGTCCTGTTGGCCACTGGGAGGAAAAACGAGTAGTACGGTTAGTAGTACAGTAGCAAATGTACAAAAAAAAAAAAAAATTTTCATCACAGGCGTGTGACTGAACAAACACCTGACTGTCGTAAATGTATTTTGTTCCTTTAGATAAAAAAAAATAAAACTGCAGTTGTCTTACCTGTGTTTACTGATGACACAACACCCTCCTTTGTCTTATTGCCTGAGGAACAAACATATTACAGTCATATTCACACTCACAACCCATACAATATTATTTAATATTATATCACTTTCAGTTCTCATTTTGGCCTCATTTTTGAAATGTAAATTTTTCCAAAGTTGAGGTAAAAAAAAAGAGTAGATTTATTGAGTAGCTTTTTTTCCGCTTGTATTTATGGAAACCCATTTTGTCTGCTGTTGCCCGTCCAAACGCCCAGGGACTGTAACGTCAGCATTGTGCTCAGTCAGACACAGTTAGTTCAGCCTCTGCTGCTGTCATCCATTCTTCCTGCTAAAAATACACCTAACGACCTACTTCTGCACCTACGTTGCATCTTTGGCAAACTGGTCGCCTATTTGCCTATTCCTGGCTGCTCAGCAGGCACGTACGCTGATTATGATGTGGCCCATGCAGATTAATTTGTGGTCATATAACCTGCATGGACATGAGATGGAAACAGATCAATAAGTGTCAGCCTGGATGGATGCATGAACATCTGATCAAAAAGCAAGCAAAAAAACCCCTAAGGGGAAAAAGGAGAATGTCACAGTTTCATTGCACTCAGATGGACAGATGCAGATGCTGACATTTGGAGTGTGTCCTGCAGCCACCCATCCTCTGTCTGCCTCCTGCTCCCCTCCATCTCCCTGCACGCTCTCAGTGCTACATAAGCCACGTGCCTGTGTGCACTGCAGCACAGCCCTGCACATATACACGCTCACGCTGCAATGACACAGCTGCTTTCTCTGGGCCCACAGAGGCACTGCTGCACTGGCACTGTGAAAATGAAACACTGATTTCACTCTTTCTCTTTTTTTCAGAAGGCTTCATTATGACTACAAATAATAATAATCCCTGATCTTAGGCTTGTCCCTCTAAAGAAAGGTTCCATAGATTGGAGTGTGTGAAGGCTTTCCCTCGTAATGAAATAATTCAGGAAATGCGCAAACATATTGATCTGGTCAGTGTGGTGGATTGATCCTGGACTGATTGGGGTTCTAAGTGCTCCGTGTTTTAATTAAAAAGCTTCACACATCACATCAACAGTGAAAATGATTTATGTCCCTTCATGAAACACAGAATATAAAACGATCCCTGGCTTTTATTACAGGTGCAGGAGTAAAAATCAGTTATTGACTCCCCAAACTTGTAAAAAAGCTTTTAGAACAAATGCTGCCAAACCAAACATCTAATTTTTTAATTCATTTTACTGCAGCTGTTAGTATAATGATAAATCAAGGAATGTATAACACACATTTAAAAGATTCAAAATCATGTCTAGCTTCTCTCCTTAGTGATGACTGAATGGATGTATTTTCGGCCTCTGTGTTACTGTCAGCCTGCAGTCTCTGACACGTTGTAGCCACATTCACATGTCGATGTGTGTGTGTGTGTGTGTGTGTGTGTGCATGCACTCTGCTGCAGGAGGATACAGAGGATAATCAAACATATCTCATCATCACCTGTGTTACAGTGTTGATTTCTGCTGACACCTCGACTCCTCCCTCCATCACTGTCACCCTGATCCTCTGATCAGGTGTTCGTCTGCTAGTAGCTGTGACACTAGGATCATTTTCTAAAACAAAACTACACTACACTGAGTATTTTCTCCCTCTGCAAAAATACAGAGGGGGTGGTGGGTGAGTTTAAAGTAGCCTGGGCTGGCAGACAAATACTTTAGAGTTTTTTGGGGGGTGGTGGTGCAGGGGCAGACATACTGCAGTGGAGAAGCAGCCATCCTTGGCCCCCGTCTGCACCCCCACCCACCACTCTGAGGCACGTATGCATACGCTTCTGCATATTTAAATGAGGTTAATTCAGATTTATTTGTTAGGGTCAAAGACAGGCACAGAACAGTCGGCACACTGGACCGGTGCAGGTGACGTCGGCTTCCAGCGCCATCACTTCACACCCACCTTTATTCACTGTTAAAACCCTGGCCCCCACCCCCTCTGAGACAGCCAAAAAGCAAGTCTAGTGCAGGGGGTAACCTTGAGATGTGACGCAGTTGTTACTACAGCTTGGTTTTGAGCCACATTTTGAGTTAATTGTTTTTACGTTGTTCATTTTAAATGTTGAATCTGCACAAATGGACTAAAACCCTGTTAGATGTAGGTCATCTTGTGAAATTTTAAACAGGCAGTAGTTAGCGACAGCATTGCTCATCACTGATGCTGCACTAAAGAAACACTCCTTCTTTCTTCTGGTTTTTTTTTTTCTGTTCTCTTCTATATTTTTGCCCCCCTGAGCCAGGGCAGACCCCCACCGGTTACGGTCCCTTCCATCATTTCCATCTTTTCAGTGGTACATCTACTCCTCCTCACTCACTCTGACCCTCCCTCACTCAGACCCCCACCCTCTGCCCTGCACCAGTCCTGCAGCAGGACCCTGACAGTTCTGATTCTGCTTATTCCTCTTACCCTGAGATTTTCTTCTGTCAAATGAACACTTTGTTCTCACACCTGCCCCAGAGGTTGACACCCGTGGGACCTCACTTTGACCCATTCTCCCCTCAGAAGTGCCTCAACACACAGAACTTTCCATAGATTTGATGTGGTACGTACCTACATACATCACCCCCTCCTTGGTCTTGGCTGCTGCTTCTTCCATCCCAGCTTTGGTCTTCTCTGCGGCGGCCACCACTCCCTCCTTGGCCATGGAGAACCCCTTCATCAGTACATCCATCTTTGGCGATAAAACGAGCTGGGCTCCCCTGCTCCAAACAGGCCTGGCTGAGTAAAGCTAGTGCTTACAGTTAGTGCAGGAGGGATGTCACAGTATGCCTGTCAGTCTCTCTCTCTCTCTCTCTCTCTCTCTCTCTCTCTGTGTGTGTGTGTGTGAGAGAGTGGTCGTGAGTGAGTCAGTGGCTCCTCCTCCACTCTTCGGTGCTACAACAGAAGGTCTAGGAGAACAGCACAGCAGGGCTATAGCACGCAGACTGAAGAGAAGAGGGTGGAGGAGAGGACGGCTATGCACGAGATGTAGAGATGAGAGGAGGGAGGAGGAGGAGGAGGAGGGATGGCCTGATGCTGCAGCATTTTCAATCCCTGCTGCAGCCCCGCCCCTCAGCTTCAGCTCCTCTATAATCCATCTTCCTCCCGATGATGCTCACTCATGCTCCGCACAGCGTTCGGCGTGCTGCTCTGGACACACCTTTCCAAACGCGGGTTTCACCATTTTAAATTGATAATTTGATAATATGACGATCTTTAATGGGATTCATATTCCCAGTATCCTATGGCCTGTGGCTACGTGGGATGAGGGGTTGGAGGGGGACACGTTGATGGTTTCAGATATAATGTTACATTGTTCAAAGTTGCAACTCAGTGTCATATATCACTATGACTCTGATCAATTCCTGCAGACAGCTGACATCAGCCCTAATGGAATTTTGTCTGGAGACACATTGGAATCTGTTCAAGCTCTGTTCCTGGACATTATTTACGTCATGGTGTGGTTTTATTTTTCTCCTTTTTTTAGGAATATAAAAACCTATAAACCAACCTTATCAAGAACCACAGACATCACCTGCTGTATTTTTTGTCTGTATGTTGTCAGGAAAAAAAATCGCGTTGTCATCTTCACCTGAACGAGTCACATTCAGCACCTCCTCCACCTCCTGTCCCAGCCCCCCTCCTGCTCTCACTGCTGCCAAATACGCTGACTTAGCATCACTGATGCTTTTGAGAAATCCACAGCTGATGTTTTATAGATACACGTTTTTATTTCAAAGCTGCTAAGCTGAGATAAAGTTGAAAAAAAGAATATATGCATTGCTGCAGAACAACAGTCCTCGACCCTCCTTCTTAATGGCTCTGATTAAATCCAAATGAGTTATGTTGGCTGATTTCACATTGGAATTAGTGATGCATAAAATGCTGCTCTGCAGTTGCACACAGAAGAGTCGCAGTGTCACAGTGTCCTCTAGTGGCCGACACTGTTTTTACATAATGACACAGCAATATAGATGTACGAGAGGCTGGGCCAGGATTATTCACAGATCGATGACCTAATCATAAGATGTGAAAGTGATGCAATAACTTGGCGGCTGATTATCATGTCAATTTGTCTCACTGGATTTTAATGTTAATGTGTTATTAATAATTTGAGGCTTCGACATTTTTCAAATGTCACTCAATAAATAGAACGAAAACTTGAACTGCAGCCTTCAGGTTTTTGTTACTGTCAAAATGTTTTAATCATCCAGAAACCTCTGAACCTCAGTATTCAACGACCTCACTGGTGGTGCATATCTACAGCATATTTGTCATATAAATGGATAGATGCTACATTCCCTATATAGCAACACAATTACTTTAATATATATACCTAAATAGTGGATAAAAACCAAAACATCTTTATTAAATATTTAACGTTCAGATATAGTGTTGATTTAATTAGTGTCCATCCTGTGCCAAGTCCAGGTTTGGCCAGTAGGGGGACGCACACGTGTGGCTATGAGGGTTGATTGTAGACACGCCTGTGATTCCCCGCCTTCTGATTGGACTACAGACAACTCCAAACGTGATGGGATTTCTTCGTCTTGTAAGTTTTGTTTAAAATGTGACTTTAGTTTCTTGTATTAATTTAACTGGGCAGTTGATAATGTTTTTTTCTGCCTTCAAAAGTCAATATCTGTTGAAAATATTTTAGAAAATGTGTCCCATTGATCATTGATGTGCGTGAACAGTTATGATTGGTGGAATTGTAACAGTTGACGCAGCAGATAAGTTTTAAGAAAAAGTTTATTCACATTGATATCAGTACATTTTTGAGTGCATCAGTTTTCTTTACATACGGTTTATGTTCAGGTGTGCACGTGTGTGTGTGCATCTCTGTGTGTCTTCTAGAAAGCATGCTGACTGCTTGATGCCTTAGTGTATCATTGTGTGTGTGTAGTTTATGCACTGAGTGGCGTAAAAGAATATCATCAATTTTGCAAGTTTTGCTTGAACACGTGTTTTTTTTTATACAATTTCTCATCCTTTTAAGGGAGACAGAACACAAACAAACGAGGAAAAAGTAAAGACAAATCCAAATGTGAGATCAGGTCTTGGCAGTTGATATGAGATACATTTGACAGGTAATACCGAGCCTATGAACACATAGCATTCTCACACTAACAGTAATCGTCTCACATTCTACTGATCTAGTCTATAACACTATCTCACATCGCTGAGGAGTGTCCTCCTGCTGCTCCTCTTCTCTCTCTTTATTTATCCCCCCTCCTTATTAACTCCTGCACTTTTGTCCATGTCCTCCTCTCTCCCTCACACTTTCTCTCTTTTCTTGTTTCTCTTCCTTCTTACTCCTCTTTAGTTCTTGACATTGAGGATCTGTGCAGACAGCCCGTGGTGCCACTTCCTCAGCTTGGCGAAGCGAGGCCCTCTCATCTCGGACTCAAACTTATCTCTGCAGGTGGGACGTTAACATCAGGTAGTGTTATTTAATCACACAGTTAGAGACTCAACAGGAAAAAAACAGACTGGCAGTTCAATTGTGTAGTTTAGCATGAAAGGACTTAGTTTTAGGCATACTGTATGTGAACTTTTGTTTAAGGTCGCTGAACAATGTCTGGAGTGTTAATAAAAGTTCTGTTCCATTTTTGTGCACAAAATATCATTACAAGTGGTCTGCAACATTAAAGTTTGTTTTTTTTTCAAAGCAATATGTGGGGCCAGATATGACAAAGTTGAATGTTAAATAACGTAGCTATGCAGTGTTTCAGTAGTGCATGTTTCAAAAAGCATAGACTATTAGTCTAACAATAATCAGCTATTATGCATTGAATAGATAACATTCAGTTTACAAATGTGGGTTAAGTTATTCCTTCTTCTCACCTTGACTTCTGTAGGGCTTCCATATCTGGGTCTTGCACTGTATGAAGAAAGAGACTTGGTAAGTTTTTTGCATGTTTATGATTAACATGTCTTGACCAAGTGATGAGCATAAATTAGAATGAAAAACCACAAGGGTTAATAGAAGGTGTACTGACGGTATTCGGTGCCGGTAATGTGGGCCAGCATCCTGAAGCTCTTGGACTGCAGGTTGGCAGCACGACGAGCCCATTCAGACATGTCATGGCTGATCTCCTCTGGCCTGATCACTGCCTGGTACACTGGAGATGCACAGTCCACCACAGGGTCCTTGACAGGCAGAACCCCACTGTAGGACAGAGGCCACTGTTAGAGTTCTAATAATGTCTGGACGTGTCAATAATGGACAAAAATGGATTAAAGCCCAGTATGGAAAATGGAATGTTGAGGAGATTTAGAGGTACTATTTAATTGTTTATTATGCTTATATGAGCTTCTCATACCTATAAGTAGTCATTTACTAGAAATATTTCAAACACTATATAAATGGTGTGTCTAACAGTGATTTGTCCTCTACTTTTATATATACTGTATTTTACTGAGTCTGAGCTGATCTGTGGTTCATGTCAGTTATAAATATTTTATCCATCCATCCATCCATCCATCTTCAACCGCTTATCCGGGGCCGGGTCGCGGGGGCAACAGTCTGAGCAGGGACACCCAGACTTCCCTCTCCCTCGACACTTCCTCTAGCTCTTCTGGGGGGACCCCA